GAGAAACTATAGGTATGAGCCAGCTGGAGTTAACTTGCACAGAGTTTAATAAGAGAGTTAAATGTGCTTAAATGTCTCTCATTGAAATTAATGGGATTTAACAGTGTTTAATTTGGCTGGATTATGCTCTGTATTTGTTTAATCAACCAGATTTAATTTAACTTTATTTGTTATTACAAATCTGGTGGTTTGTTTTTTAACGGTAGCATATTAGGGTTTCTGAGACCCCAATCATTTTATTTAAAAAATTGGGGGGGGGGGGGGGCAGAATTTCAGGGAATCCGATAAAACGCTCTGCGTCCCCAAGAGAACAGTAGATTAATCCACCCTCCTGAGCAAATCAAATCACAAAAACACTCCCTGCTCCGGGTAGGCAGTTATGTAATAGATGATGTATACTTTAAGGACTCTTTGATCCTGTGTAATCTAACATAAAATAAATTCCAGGCTGGCAATTAGTGCAATTCTCTGCTCTCTGGCCACTCATTTAGAAACTCTTCCCTCTCTTCACATTAGTTATTTTGGATTAAAACAAAGTGCTCTCAAGAAGTTTTTAATTCAGAACTGTCCCCCAGAATATATTCATTAGCATGCAGAGGTGTGCATATTCATGGCAAAAGAGCCTCAGCTTTTATCAGAAGGAAACAGTAATATGAGAAATGAGTTTAGCTTTACTGGCCTCTTCGATTCCCTTGCCTACAGACAGGCATTCACACCCGCTGTGACAGACATGGGTTTTGTACCTTGGAGCAGTTGCGTCTGGATCGAGACCCATCAGCTCATCCTGATTCTGAACCAGTTGCCAATTCAATCACCATTGGACATAAATGTTGTCCCCCAGTGAACAGAGGTCACCTCTTATGCTTAATCCTGGCCTGGCCTGCAACACCAATCGTTCCTTCCCTAATCTCCCAGAACAGCTGTGCCGTGATTGCATTGTGGATTATAAAATGTCCATTTCCCACAAAACAGCTGCTGACTGGCTGGATGGCATTTAATAATCAGAGAGGGTGGGAGAAGGAGGAGAAAAAGACTATATGGGGGGGTTAGGATGCGTTTGTTTCTTTCCATCCATACCTAACTGGAAGATGTGGGAAAATAAAGGCTGTTTCCGAATCCCCGTTTCAATGCTGCTTGCACGTTAAACTGCGGGAACTGGAGAAGTCTCCAGAAAGGTAAATGGTATTCTTGATTTTACTGGGAGAGAGTGTGGGTCTGCAATAGTGTGTTACCCGGCCATTGTAATGGGAAGGAGGTTTCTGAAAGAATTGGGATTTTCTCTGTAGCCATCTTTACCCTCTCCACATCTGACTTCTGTTACTTCTGGGCTGATTCTGAAATGACATTATTCCTTCTGTGCATTATAGCTTTTTTGCACAACGAGCTTTGTATTGGAATATTCGTTTATAGACTTCCCTTATATCCCACCTTTCTGTCCAACGGGGACCCAAAGCAGCTTACATCATTTTCCTGTTCTCCATTTTATCCTCACAACAACCCTGTAGGGTAGGGTAGGTGGGGTGTGTGTGACCGGCCCAAGGTCTCCCCGTGAGCTTCCATGGCATAAGTAGGGATTTGACCCTGGGTCTCCCAGATCCTAGTCCAGCACGACTAACCAGTATTCCCCACTGGATTTCTGAGCAGAGAGAATACCAAAACAATGGCTCTCAGAGGAAAGACACATGAGCAAGAACAGGAAGGACTATAGTATTCTGCTCGGATTCTGCCCTCTGCCCTGAAAAGATCCATGCGGATCGTGTATTCTGATGTCCCTGTGTGTTCCATTATGGGTATTTTTATACGTAGAAGAAACTGAGACTTGGCCCTTCATCTCCTCCCCCTCCATTCTTTCTGTCCCATTTTTCCTTTTGGTTCAGTCAATTAAATCTCTGCACAGTTTCTTAAATATCTAATGGAAGGGAACATGCATCTTCCTGGGCATGGTGAAGTTGTGTATCTTGAGTGCATGACTGCTCCGTGCGAAGGGCAAAAAGGTTTTCCAGTGGTCTCTTATCAGAGATATTTTTGCAGAATGCAAAATAGAAAAAAAGACCTTTGGAGAAGCCAAGCACAGAGCGGGGTGGGGCAGTGCTGAGTGTAAAAAGCAAGGAATAGCTAGATGATCTGTCAGTTCTCTCCCACCCTCCCTAAAGTTCAAGGTGGCTTGCAATAGAAACAGAATAAAATAATGTTTGGACAGCAGACTACAAACAATCCACCAGCAATTGAGAGAGTAAATCTGTACCATGGAGTGGGGGAGAATTCCTCCTGCTGATTTTGGGGTTAAAGAGAGCTGAAGAGAGATGTCTCCATTTAATTTTCTCTGTTATATGTTTCAAAAGCACAAACACCCCCCCCCCCAATCCATCCAGGATGATCCATGCATAGAAAGTGACTTCCACTTGAGCAGCGACTGTGGATGTCGATGCCTGTCCATTACGTGTTTGGATCAGAATGCTCATCAGGGCCCATTGAACTGACTGGCTGGCTGTATCTTTGGATGTGTGCATGCATCATCCTCAGGAGCCACTGGGTATTGAGTGTTACTAGGTGCACATGACTAGAGCCAGAGTCCTCTCAGATTCAGTATGAATGTGATTAGCAATCCGTTAAGCGAATGCTTGTTAAACAACCAAATCCACAAATCTCAGTCAGAATGGGAGCCAATGTGAGGCACTCAATGGACTTACAGTCTTTTCCTAAGGGAGCCATCCACGTAGGTTTGTCTTTAGAGACCTTGTGATGATCACTTTCCCTGGACCAGTCCTCTTTGCAGTGGCTGCCTCTCAACACAGAACGAGCTCCTGTTACTTTTAAGAGCTGCAAAACCATAAGATGTTTCAGAGGTGCAATTTCAGTCTCAGTGCTGGAGGAGTTACTTGGACTGCCCAAGCAGTGAGTCAGGTGGAGACCTCGTCTTCCTCCTTTAGGACATTTAAAAAGCCAGAAAGCGTCTCTCCATCTGGGAATGGCACTTCTACTCATCCTTCTTCGTAGGCTGTAATGCTGCATTTGCCCCACATCTGTCAGTAACTTTGTGACCCACAACTCACGGATGTTTCCCAATCTGCTATTTGACCATTGTTGGTTTATGTAAACACAGAGAGGCACAGGAAATAACTCTGCCATTTTGTCAGAGATATTTGTCAGATCTTTAGTGTATGAAATGAGAACCAGGTACATCATCTTGGGTCCTTGATGGAAGGGTGCGACGAATCTATTGCAGTGGGAAGGTGACCTGGTGCTTTGTGAAGGCCTTTTTAAACCTCCCCATTTTTTTTGAATAAATAACTTTTATTTATAAAATATAGCAATGATTTACAGTAGCACATACTATTAGGAAAGCACTACAATAAAAAATATAATTAAAACACAAAAAGCACAAGAGCAATAAAGCCAAACAGCTATTCAATACATAGCTATAACCTTCAAATTATCTGGAAATGCCTTTTTCAGCTTACTATGTCTTTCCATATATTCAAGAAAGGGAAACCAATGTTCCAGAAAGTCTGAATGAAACTCTGGATTCTCTGCCAAGGATATAACTTCTGATATTTTGTCCATGACCAGGTATTCCCATAACACCCCCCCCCCCCAATTTAAAAATAAAAAGAGCAAAAACTTTTTGTCCCAGAGCTTGATTCGGGCTATTGGTCAAGCAAGCCAGACATGTCCTCTGGAGATCTGTGAACAGGTGCTGTGGGTTTCCACTCAGACCAGGGCTCATAAGGTGCTTGTGTGAAGTGCCGTCAGATCGCTACCCACTTATGGTGACCCTACAAATTAATGTCCTCCAAAACATCCTATTGTTAACAGCCTTGCTCAGGTCGTGTAAACTGAGGGACTTTGTGGCTTCCTTGATTGAGGCAATCCATTTCATGTTGGGTCTTCTTCTTTTCCTGCTACCTTCAATTTTTCCTAGCATTATTTTCTTTTCCAGTGAAGGCTGATAATACAGGAGGGCTAACCCTTTCTCCCCAGACTGACCTCGCCACAGTCATTTTTTTTCCAACCTCAGTTACCATGCCACAGAACAATTTGCCCTGAGGGGAGGGACAAACAGGTATAAATGCGAAGATACCCACCATGTCTCTCAAATGAAGTTCTATGTTCTGTTCTCACAATCACAGAGGAGAAATAAAAGATCCAATCCAGAATTTCAGTGAATGGATATGGAATGGAGATTCCAATCTAGATTAGTGATAATTGTTAGTGTGAAACGAGAGAGTGTTAATTACTCTCAATGAATGAATGAATGCGATCCCATGCATCTGATACACGGAGGCATGCTCAGCATCACCTGCTACAAATTAATCACTGCTTAACCACCTTGCCATGCTCACTGTATGGGTGGCTCCTGGCTACGCAAACCATTACACAATTCTAATCTCTATTAATCATGGAGAGTACAAGATCAGGAGACAGCAGATATTCTCTGTCAAGTCAGACAGAATGATCTCGTGCATGTACCTAGTACGTTGTTATCTTGCCTTTCTCCAAATTGCTCAGGGCAGTATGTGTGGCTCTCCTTTCCCAATTACGACAAGCCTGTGAGGTAGGTTAGGCTGAGACAGAGAGTAACCAGCCTATCATCATTCATGAGTTTCATGACTAAGTGAAGATTTGAACCTGGGTCCCTCTATCTAGCCCAACTAGTACACCACACTGTGGTTACAAATGCCTGTTTGTAGTTTGAACTTTCACTTTACTTGGCTTTATTTCAGGGACCTTCGAATGGAGAAGTCAACTGCCATGAATGCCACACATTTTCGTGTACGCTTTCTTTCAAGGGAATTCTTCATCTCGTGCACTCCTTGTTACATTTTGTTGGATGCAGTTTGAAAAGGCTGAAGTGATAGAGCTTCTACCACTCCTCTGAGGCATTCCTCACAAACACATTTTGTTGTGTCCTTGTTATTACTGATCATAAAGGTTTGGCAGGAAAGCCTGAGTAGTTGAGGGCAGTGTGGGAGTCTCTTATGCTTGCTTGTTCATTGCAGATGGAGCTTTTGAGGAACCTGCCCTGGCGTCGTGCTGTCCTTGCTGTGGTGCTGAACCTGCTGGCCCTCAGCCTGTCCACCACAGCCCTGCTCGGCAGCTATTGGTGTGTTGGAACTCAGAAAGTCCCCAAGCCTTTGTGTGGGAAGAGCCAGACCACCAAGTGCATCGGTGTCCCCATGCCACCCGACGGAGGGACTGGCAACTCCTCCTTCCCAACCCAGGATGTGGTGCACTACAGCTGGGAGACGGGGGATGATCGCTTTGCCTTCCGGTACTTCCATACGGGCATGTGGGTTTCCTGTGAGGAGAACATAGAAGGATCAGGTAATGGTTCCAGAGAGGAAATTATTTTAGCTCCAGGGGCTGAGGCCCTTTCTGCACTCTCCTTTTAATCCATGTTCACCGTGGTGTTGTTGGATGTTGTTTTGCCGAGGACCTAAATTGTCTCAACTCGAACACTGAGAAAATCTGGAGTGGCAGGCAAATGTGGAAAGGACCCTAGTGTCAGTGCACGGGAAAAGCTGGGGATGTGGGCTTCTTCTTTGGGGCACAGAGGGTAGGGCATTAGCACTGACGCTTACCTGTGCAAAGCACCCTGTCCTGATCTGAAAGAGTGGCTTAGAAAAGGATGAGTAAAGCCAATTCGGTAGATATAGCTAGCCACACCGGAAAATGATGGCAGGGGAAATAGGCACAGAGGGGTTTTTTGGCCCATGCCTAATTCCCTCCTCCGGGAGCCTGTCACAGGATTGGCCTGTTCAGGAAGAGGGGCAGAGGCTTTGCTGATATGCTCTGTAAGGCAGGAAGGACTGCTGTTACACTTGCTGGACTGGGGGGAGAACCAAAAATCCAGAGGCCAGCTTGGCTGTGCCCCCCTTGTCCCTTTCCCTTGTGATAAGCAGTTTGCCTACCTGGCAGAGTGGAAGCTGAAGGGCCCCATTCTCTAAAGAAAGAAAAGAACACGCTTGCTCAGAGGGCAGGGTAAGGTGAGAGAAGGACCAGATCTCTCTCCTGGTCTGCCTGGTGCATAAAACCCACTGGTGCATAAGGCTGCCTGTTTGGGGGTAATTAGGATGGGTTTATGGTCCCTTTCCCCCCAGATTCAGGCAATGGAGCTGCTGTTTTGAGAGGGAGAGCAGTGCATGTGGGTGGGGAGCAGCTCTTCAACAGTGCCATCCTAAGCGGACCTGATAGGGCTAGGAGGGGGTAGCTCCATGCAGGATGGAAGAGTCACTCTCTGTGCTGCCTTTTTCTCCTGAGAAATGCTACCTCTTGAGCCCGTGAAACCCGGAAAGCCAGTTCCCCTGAAACCTGCACCCTTTAACTTCAACCTGTGGGTTTTAGGATCGAGGGATGAATCAGTGGGGCCGGTGGTATTAAGCGGTTTGATTCCATTGCTCCTCCAGCAGGAAAACAGCCTTAGTGAACTGCACTGCTTAGTACTGGGGAGGAGCCTGAACACCAGAGAGCTGGCCGAAATGGACCAAAGGGAAAGAAAATGTCACCATGAAGGACGTGGGGAGGACAAAATAATTTCAAAAAGCTACCCTGCCCTTCTGGGGGATCTGATCCACAGAGCCAGAAGCTGGAAAGCAATATAGATACAGTCTGAACATGTGGTTGTAATCCGATATATGAGATCAAAGAAGGGCTTGGCAGTCTTCCAAACTACATAGGTTAGGATTGCCACTTGACCAGTTTTGAACCGTCTTGATCTTTTTAGAAAGCTCTTTGGGCTTCATTTTAACTCAATTTCAGAACAAGAGGATGGGGAACTATCAATGTGCATATGTTTAAACAAACTAACATCCAGTGTTCCCCACCCCCATGTACTTCCTAATGTATTGGGAAGCAAAGGACAGGTGTGCTGTACCCGAAGTTAAGAAATTGATTTTTGTTGTTGTTGTTCAGTCGCACAGTCGAGTCCGACTCTTCGCGACCCCATGGACCAAATCACACCAGGCTTTCCGGTCTTCCGCCGTCCTCTGAAGTTGGCTCAACCTCATGTTTGTTGCATCTATGACACTGTCCAACCATCTCATCCTTTGCCGTCCCCGTCTTTTTTGACCTTCAATCTTTCCCAGCATCAGGGTCTTCTCCAGTGAGTGCTCCCTTCTCATTTGGTGGCCAAAGTATTTGAGCTTCAGTTTCATTATCTGGCCTTCCAGGGAACAGTCAGGGTTGATTTCTTTTAGGATTGACTGATTTGATCTTCTTGCAGTCCGAGGGACTATCCTAAACATAGTTGCACCCTTCCAAGCCCTTTGAAGTTAATGGACTTTAAAAGGGTATAACTCCGCTTAGGATTGCACTGTCAGCATGCAATTCTAGGCATGCTTAAATTTTGGAATAAGTCCTGTTGAATTCAGTGGGACTGATTCCGGTGTAGACATGAATTGGATAGAGGACAGGAAGTGTCTCAGGCATCCAGAGTGGTAACCCATGGGCTGCATAACTCAAGTATTTCTGTTGAACAGGAGATTTCAGTAAATCGGATGTTCCCAGGGAGAGACATGAGGGCCTTCTATATCACCTCCTCTTCCCCAGTGAGGGGCTCCTCCTTTTCTGACTGGAGAAAAATCTCTGAGGAGGTGGGACTTAAACTGCACCTAGACTGTTCAGACAGCAGGGGGCTCCCATGATTCAGTGCTCCTCCATGCAGATAGGAGTGAATAAATTCCTGGGCTCCGTTTCACTATATGGTCTCTCTGTTTGCATAGATTCCTTTCCTCTTACACACTTTCCTTTAGAATCTATTTTTCTCCTGCTTTGTGAATCTTGCTCAGAAATATATATTTGAATATTTATTGTATTTGGCATTCAGGATAACATCTGTTTATTTTCGAAGAGTTCTATGCCACCTCTTCAGAGTCCCGCTCAAATATTGAAACACAAGCCATTAAGAACCACAATATTAAAACACAAGCCATTGATGCAGGCGGCGTAAAAACTATCCATAAAACAGAAGCAGACCATTAAAAAGCTGCTAAGATAAAACCTATAATTAAATTCACATTTCAGATGTGTTTGACTGAATGAACACTGAACAGTCATACACTGTTCTTTCAGGTGTGTGTGTGTGTGGGGGGGGAATGCCAATTCCAGGATGGGAAATTCATGGAGGTTTGTCTGTAGAGCCCAGGGAGGGTGGGGTTTGGGGTACAATGCCATAGACTCCACCCTCTAAGGCAGCCATTTTCTTCAGGAGAACTAATCTCTGTAACCTAGAGATCAGTTGTAATTCTAGGAGGACTTCAGGAGAGTGTGCTCGTGGGAATGAAGGGGATGAAAGGCATGAAATGCTGGCTTTTGCGATCAGCGGCTGCTCCCCATTCTGCACAACCTACAGGCTTTGGAGCATTCTGGCATTGCATCAAGAGAGTTTAAGCCCATTATGAGACTAAATACACAAGTAAATATTGATTTTGTAGGTGTCAACAATGAGGGGAGCATTCAGATCTGTTCCAATGTGCCATGCTGGTTAGTGAGCAGGTCAGATTTGGTGGAAAAACTCAATAGTAGAGAATTTCATGAGTAAGCCTACAGGCAGGATTGGGGGGGGGGGGTGGAAGAAAACAAACTATTATTTCGGGGGGAAATGCTGTTGGGAAGCAGGGTTTTTCTTTGCTTCCCACAGCATTGTGGTTAGGATTGCCGGGCTGAAGCCAGCAACTCCCAGGAGAAATGGGGGGGGGGGCTTGGAATGCCAGTTTTTTTACCCCAAGTTACATTGTGGATGCTCTAGAATTTACAAAATCTCTATGGTAAAAACCATAGATTTTTTGTAAATTCTAGAATGTCTAATATGGAACCTGCAGAAAGCTGAGTCGCTCTTACATTCTATATTTGTTAAGTTGTTTTTGCTTCTGCAAACCTTTCACAAGTAGTCTTGAGAGGCAGTTTGGCAGGGGAGTTATCAAGGAAGTGCCAGTTAAACAGAACTAATTTTGAAATGGATTGCAGCAGCATGGCAGTGATGTGCAAAGTCTGCGGCACGTTCATATTCTTATCTGAGGGTAACAGCAATTACACTTGCTGCAAATGTAAGTTGGTAGCCCTACTGGAAGAGAAGATACAGGGAGCTGAGGCATGCTTGTCCATACCCCAGTTTATAAGGGAAGGTGAAGATTTCATGGACAGAATGCATGAAGCACTCCTTTTTTTTTTTTTTGTGCTCCCGGTAGTGGATATTTTTATTTGCATTTTCTATAAACTACAAACTATAAAAACTACAACGAAATCAGGGTAGGGAACTACATACTATGGGAGAAAGTAAAGAAAGCCCGCTAAAAACCCAAGAGATGGTGGTCATACAAACTGCTTAGCAAAATTAGTTTATAGCTCATAATTCAATTCAAATTCATTGAATGTGGCATCTAACACTCAATTTATACTAACAATATGACTTTAAACACCTCTACTTCTGACTTCTTTAAAGGCAATATAAGACTTATAACAATATATTTTAAGAGCTTTCAGAGTGTGATAACATCTTATTTTTTATACTTTGGCTTTCTCAAATGATAACTTGTCTTCAGGGCAGCTGCCCCTAATTTAGAGTCTGAGTCCTCGTCTGAAGATGGCGCTGCTCCTTCTTCTTCGCTGTCTTTGGTGCTGTCCTCTTTCTCGGCTTCAACCTCTCCTGATGGACGACTATGTAGACGCAGAAATTCTTGTGCCTTTTCAACAGAATCAATTTTTTCTTTCCCATCCATAAATTTGAAGATTGTACCTTCGGGTACTAACCACCTGTAGGGGATGTTTTTCTTTTGTAAAAATATCATCAAGTCTCTGTATTTCCTCCTCTTCCTTCTTATTTCAAATGGGATGTCCTTTAATACTTTTATTTCTTTGTCTTTGACCTTCAAGGTTAATCCATTTGTCGCTTTGAGAATTTGATCTCTCACTTGTCTTCTAGAGAATCTTATAATCACTTCCCCAGGCAGATTATTTTTTCTTGTAAATTCTGGATATGATCTGTAGATCATATCTATTTCACTTTGTAAAGTATCCAATTTTATATCTGCCAGAGGTCCTAATACATCACACATAATCTGTTTCAGATTCTCACCTTGAAACAGAGGTCAATCTGGGGGGAATCGTGAGGGATCGCCATTCCCCCGGGTGAAGGGCAGGGGTGGGGCACACGATGAATCCCCGCCCCCTGTTTCCGGCCACCCCACTTCCGGCCCTCATTCAGCCAGGAGGAGGCAGGAGAAGAGGGTGGGTAAGTTGCTTCCTCCCCGCCTTTCCCCATCCCTGCCTGCCTGGGGCCAGGGAGGGCCTTGGCGGGGCTTCCTCGCACTTCCGCTGGCCTTGCAGGGCCACCGCCGGGCCCCTGATTGGGCTCGGCAGTGGAGCCGCAAGGCCAGCGGTGGCTGGGACCGTTGGGGGCCGGGGGGCCTTTGCAGGGCTTCCTCA